TGCAACAAATTATTGATGCTTTCAAACTGTGGTGTTGAAGAAGGCTCTCGAGAATCCCTTGGACACCAAGAAGATCAAACCAGTCGATCTTAAAGGAAACCAACCCTGAGTATTGATTGGAAGCACTGATGCTGAAGCTGCAATACTTTGGCCACCTGATTTGAAGAGCTGACTTATTAGAAAACACCCTGCTGCTGGGAAAGATTGAGGGCAGGGGGAGAAGGGAGCGACAGAGTATGAGGTAGTTGGATAGCACCATTGACTCAATGGACATGAGTTTGAGCAAACTTTGGGAGATAGTGAAGGAAGGGGAAGCCTGGCCTGCTGCAGTTCATGGGGTAGCAAAGAGTTGTACTTGAATCAGAGACTGAACAGAAATGAATTTATGGTTGTAGCAAAATAAGCTTTTCAAAATGAGAATGTATGTGGTCTTGTTACACATGGCCAGATCCTTCTGTGAGTCTTGTACTATTTTGCCCTGGTCCAATACTTTGGCCACCTGATGCTAAGAAATGACTCAATAGTGAAGGAAGGGGAAGCCTGGCACGCTGCAGTTCATGGGGTAGCAAAGAGTTGTACTTGAGGCAGAGACTGAACAGAAATGAATTTATGGTTGTAGCAAAATAAGCTTTTCAAAATGAGAATGTATGTGGTCTTGTTATACATGGCCAGATCCTTCTGTGAGTCTTGTACTATTTTGCCCTGGTCCAATACTTTGGCCACCTGATGCTTAGAACTGACTCATTGGAAAAGACCCTGATGCTGGTAAAGATTGAGGGGAGGAGGAGAAGCGGATGAGAGAGGATGAGATGGCATTAGTGACTCGATGGACATGTGTTTGAGCAAGCTCCAGGACTTGGTGATGGGAAGCCTGGCGTGCTTCAGTCCATGGGGTCTCAAAGAGTCAGAAGACCTGAGCAACTGAACTGAACTGAACTGATAATAATGATATGCAAATTCATGAAGTGTTCCATATTTGGGGGGAGGGCTTCCCTGGATCTGTCTGCAATGTAGGAGACCTGGGTTCAGTCCCTGGTTTGGGAAGATCCCCTGAAGGAAGGCATGGCAACCCACTCAGAATTCTTGCTTGGAGAATCCCCTTGGACAGAGGAACCTGGTGGGCTACACTCCATGGGGTCTCAAAAGAGTTGGACGTGCCTGAATGACTAAGCAGATACACAATGGTAATAAAGATTTCATGTTTCATAAATTAGCTTTGCTAATTTGAGTAGAAGAGAGAACTGGTGTGCCAGCATGTGCTTTATTTTCATTGCTTTTATTTTAAATATGTTAGGACAAAGAACATAACTGTCAAAGCATATTCACATCAACTGTAAATCTTTCCCAATCCAAAACTTCATTAATGATTTTAAGGATGTAAGTAAGAAGCAGATGGAGATAGATTTTATTTTTGAAGGGCAAGAAATATTCAGACACTGCACCCTGCTTGTCTCATTCTACTTCACTATAATGCAATTTGAATTCAGATTAACAGATGTCATCTGAAAAATGTATGCAAATACACTGCTGTCAAAGGCAGTTATTTTACTTTGGGGGCTCCGCAGTTTTATGCTAGTTTATACTTACACAGATTTAAAAATACCCTACAAGATTAAATCCCATCACCAGCTCTGCCCAAAAAATCTAAAATTTCTCTGTTTATTTGTGATAAGTGATAAAGAAGCAGAGGGCTGCTGCAAGGCCCCTCTGCCTGAGCTGATGTGGTAATGTTGATCCTCTGAAGAGTGCAGTAGACAAAAAATCAAATCCAAAAGCCTTCAGATGTCATGCTGTTTGCCCTTTTAGTCTTACTTGGGACCAGTTAGCTCTTTCTTTTTTCTTCCTTTCGGAATCAGAATGCCAATTTTTTGCCTGTTCTTAGAAGATACACACTTTCTTTTATTTCATAGGTTCATAGCTAGAGAAGAAAGTTGCCTCATGATGAATCATACCTTGAGCCTCATCCATACAGGTTTAGATGAGACTCTGGACTTAGACTTTAGAATTAATGTTGAAATGCCTTAAGACATTTGGAACTGTTGGGACCCCATGGGCTGTAACCTGACAGGCTCCTCTGTACATGGAATTTTCCAGGCAAGAATACTGGAGTGTGTTGCCATTTCCTTCTCCAGGGGATCTTTCTGACCCGGGGACAGAATCCTCATCTCTGGCATCTCCTCCATTGGCAGGTGAATTCTTTACCACTGCACCACCAGAGAAGTCTGCTCAATCAGTTTTGGTAAAGGGTGTCTTTCCATGAATCTATTTTTTTTTGGGGTCAAATTTATTAGCACCATCCTGCTCATTATATTTCTTCATTATCTTTTTAATGTCTATAGGATATGTAGTAATGTTCCTTCATTAACTTAATGACTTTATCTTTCTATCTCGATCAACAGTACTTGCATTTTTAAACAACTTGAAACTGGTTTTGCTGATCCTTTCTGCTTCTTCTTCTTCTATTTCCTTGATTTCCACTCATTATTTTCTTCCTCTTATTGTATCTTGAGTCTGCTTTTGTCTTCTTTTTCTTGATTCTTAGCATGGAAGATGATTATTGACTTTTGACCCCATTTCTTTCTTCAATCTAACTTTAAAAAAATATAAATTCCATTTGTATCACTGCTTTAGGAGCATTCCACTGATTTTGGACTATCAGATTTTTGTTTTCACTCAGTAGATTTTTAAAGTGTTCTTTGTCATATATTCTGTTATTTATGAATTATTTGTTCCTCTATTGTTTCATTTCTAAATATTTGTCATTTTTATAGATATCAGTTTTGACAGTCTTTTAAAATTTCTTTATTTTTTCTTTTTCTTTTTAATGAAACAGTTGATTTAGAAGATTATATTAGTTTCCACTGTATAACACAGAGATGCACCATTTCAATACATTATGATACATAACTCTAGTATCCATCTGTTTCCATGCAAAGTAATTACAACATTATTGGCTATATTCCTTAAGCTGTATATTATATCCCTCTGACTTATTTATTTCATAATGCACAGTCTGAACCTCTTAATCACCTTAACCTGTGTCAACTTAAAAAAAATGAGCAATATCAGAGTTGCAAGTTAAGTTTTATTTGGGGCAAAATGAGGACTGCAGTCCAGGTGACAGCACCTCAGATAGCTCTGAGAAATTGCTGCTAAGAGGGAAGATTGGTATGTTTGTGATTTTGGTGAAGAGAGGGTACATGCAATCATGCACATATTTTCTTTCAGAAAGTTTCTGCTTGTCAGAGGAGTGGCTGTTACAATGAAGGATTTTAGAGCTTTTGTAGATATGAGGAGATAGGAGAATTAGACTCACGAATCGGCTCCAGAAAACATCAAGCGGTGAACATAGAGTGTTTCATTTCTGCTCTCCACTCTGAACTCCTGTCAAGGGGCGTTAAAAACCAGCAGCTGTAGCAGCACATGATTTAATCCTTGCAGAGGTAGATGGCAATCCCAATTTATAGTTGACATCTGTTTCACAAAACCCCTCACACTCTCCTCTCTGGAACCCACCCATTTGTTCTCTGTATCTATGAATGTGCTTTCATTTTGTTTTGCTTGTTCGTTTGTTGTATTTTTAGAATCCCCACAGAAGTGGGATATTACGGTATTTGTCATTTTGTGTCTGAGTTGTTTCACTTAACATGATGACTTCTAGTCCACCCATGATTGTGCAAATAGCAACATTTCACTTTTTTCATAACTGAACAATGTTTCCTGCATGTGTGTGTGTGTTTGTGTGTGTGTGTGTGTGTGTGCCTTTGTGTTTATTCATGATAATAGGCACTAAAGTTGCTTCCTTATCTTGGCTATTGTAAATAATGTGGAGACAAACAGTGAAGTGCTAATCTCCTTTGGAATTGTTTTTGGTTTATTTGGGTAAATATCTAGCAGTGAAACTGCTGAATCACATGGCAGCTCTCCTCTTCGTTTTCTGAGGAAATCCTATACTGTTTCCCTGGTGCTTCAGGGGTAAAGAATCCACCTGTTAATGCAGGAGACGCAGGATACTCAGGTTCAATCCCTGGGTTGGGAAGATCCCCTGCAGAAGGAATTGATAATTCACTTCAGTATTCTTGCCTGGAATATTCCATGGACAGAGGAGCCTGGCAGGCAACCGTCAAGGGGCCACACGTGACCGAGATCAGAGCACTGCAAGGTAGCGTCCCATCTCAGCTTCTCAGCATGTGGGCCTCCGGTTTTCCCAACACCTTTAGCAAAGAGACTGCCCTTTCCCCATATGCATTCTGATCCGCTTTGCTGTGAATTAATTGACCAAAATAGTTTTAGGTTTCTTCTGAGACTCTATTTTTATTTTTTGCATTGATCTATGTGCCTCTTTTTATGTCAATATCACACTGTTTTGGTTACTGTAGATTGATTACATAGTTTAAAACCAGAAAGGGTGAGCCTTCCAGCTTTTTCTTCTATCTCAAGGTTGTTTTGGTGGTTTGGGTAGTTTTGTGGTTAGATACATCTTTGTCACTTGACTTCACTTATTAGTTTTTTTTTTTTCATGAGCTCAGACACTAAGAAAGCAGCCTCTTTCACTACATGGATTGATAATTGTGCTCATATGGCAAAGTACTTTGAGTTCAGTCCTAGAATATAAATTACTTCAAAACTCTCTTCAATGCCCAAAGTTGTGTCTTGTAACAATAATCTCTTAGAGAATTTGCATTGCTTACCTGGCAATATATAAATGAACACTGAAAGAAATATCAAAACCTGGAAAATCCCATGGACAGAAGAGCTTGGAAGACTACAATCCAAGTGGTCACAAAAGAGTTGGAAATGACTTCATGACTAAATAACAACCACCTGCCTTTGACACAGATATTGACATATTCACGTGTACCTCAAGCAGCCTGAGATTAATTAGGGTTCCACCAGATGTGTGGCTCAATTCTAAGGAGAGAGTGCCTGAGGGGATTATTGGCTGGTAACTTTGAAAATACAAAGATGAAGCAGAGATAATAAGGACCACAAACTTTGCAGTCATTATAACATTTGATTGCTTTTATTCACAGAATGAAATTGATCAACATGTAATAGCATAAATTTAGGCTACTAAATTGGTATTAAGAGTAGCCTTTTAGCAAAGAAACGTGCCACAGCCCGAGCAAATTTTGAAGTCATGAGCTTCTTCCAAATTGCTAAAAATAAGCCTCCTGCAAAAATAGAAACATTTACGTTTCCAGTTAATAAAATTATGAAGAACTTAGAAATGTAAAACTATACAGAATAAGGCAAAATTTCTAATGAAAGGATTTGTAACATATTAGCAGCTCTGTCAGACAATTAGCCTTAACAAAGTATAAAAGAAAATGCACTGTTTGGCGCAATGTAACAGTATAATAAAGTGCTATTCCCTTTATTTGAGAATGAGATGTATTCAAAAATTCTCACACAATGTAATAGTCATAATATTTTATGGATTAAATCAAATGCACCTACTATGTATCATCACTACATTACAAATAAAATTTTTGAGACCCATGTTAACCCCTTTCTTACCCTTGTTTGCAATGTTTTCTTTCTAGAGTGAACATTTTTCCTGGAGGAAGGAGACTTCACTGATGTCCAACTAAAACTAAGTGATATTTGCCAAGTTAGCCTCCCTGATCTATAGGGTTAGTCCATGAAAAGATGGACTAGGATAGCACAGACTCTACAGGTCTAATTGATATTTAAGTGTATAAGGTTCATTGGTTCATCAATACTTCTGTATTTTCAAGGCAGGTAATACTGGGTAGAAAGAAAAAAAGCAACACCCACAAAAATTGAATTAAAACACAACCTAGTTTTATTTTGCTTCAAATACTTAACACTGTGTATCCTTTTGAACATGTTGCTTATCTTTAGTGGATCTTTTTACTAAAAAAATGCAAACACTGTCATCATCATACTGTTTTTAAGGACAATAAATAAAGTGATGTGTGAAGACATGAACCCTAATAGCCATTATTTAACTGATATTCAGAAAGGTTATATAACTCTGTATCTCTGCACTCTGTCTTCCTAGCTGCACCCCAGCCATCTCTGTTTCTTACTATTTTCTCTGTCTTGGTGGATGAGCACACCTCACACAGGGGAGAATCTCACAGCAATAATAAAGGGTCTATCATCATGGATTAGCAGTTTTGAAATGTAATCTGAAACCTGGAATATCACTAGGGTAGCAATAAGAATGTTAAGAAGAAATATATGAAAGTGTTTATTATAGAGCTGTCACTGTTGCAGAAACTACATGATATGTGAGGTCCTAGAAGGGTAGTTTGCAGTAACTGTCGTAATTATATTCAATATATCTATGATATAGAAGGTACTCAGTCATTCCTGTTGAATGAATCTTTAAACATATTTACTTCTTAAATGACTTTTGTTCATTTAGGCTTCATGGATAGTATAGCTCATAATCATACCTGTGCTTTTATTTATTTCTTGAACGAGTTTGACTGCAGTCAAAAATGCTTTTTCCTGTCTGCTGAAGTTACTCATGAGAACATTACGATCCTGATCTGTGAGTAGCCTGTGTGGGAAACCCACTAGGAATTCTGCTGAACTTTCAAAGTATGGGCGATATAATATGGCCTCAAAAAATTCTATGGCCAGTAGAAAGTCCATAGTGAAGTCTCGTTCAGTTTCAGAAGAATAGAATGATCTAAAGAAATGACACAAAATTAGACACACGAGTTGCAAAATATTTCATTATACATGCAAATTAAAGTCTAAATGTGTCTTCTCTCCCGTGTTCCTTAGGGATTTTATGGTATTTATTAATTAATTGACTGAACTGAGAATACAATTTCAGTAGATTGTAATTAATCCTTACACTATCCTCTACATTGTGCCTGGCTGAAGAATCTATTACATAACAACAGAGACAGCAACACATTGGATCACAATCTTTAAAAATTGTAGCATCCTAAGCAACCCCTCTCTTACTTCCACCAGATTTGTTCTTTGTGATTTCAGATTATATTTCCCCTCTATCTAATTTCTGTGCCACTGATGTCTAACGTCACTTGTTTTCCACGAGCACAGTTCAGGGACAGGGCGCTACGAGTCAATCTAATGAATAGAAGATTGTCTAACTGCAATTTCTGAAAATTCTTCAACAACATATACAATTGATTCATGTTTATTGTGTGTATAAGCTTATATAATTTTTTAATTCATAGGAAATAAAAAATCGACTAGGAATTTGCCACAGTAATTGAATAATCTTCTTGAATAGAACAGAACAAGGCTCAAGGCTGAGGGACAAACAAACAGATCAAACAGATGATCAGGGTTACATTTGAGTTCATCTAATTTTAGACTGAAATGGAAGACCCAATTCTTTCTTTCAGTGAACAGCTATAAAAACTGCACAAAATACTAAAAGGACGTTCTTGATATCAGAGAGTAGACAATGATTTTCAGAAATTGTAAGATCAAAATCCAAGAAAAAAGTATGATGGACTGAAAATTTACATGTTGAAGTTTATATTAAAGGGGAAGAAAGACCAGAGTGCAGACTCTCTCTCTCTCTCCTCTTTCTTCTCCATGTGAGGACAGAACAAGAAGGCAGCCACCTGCAATTCAAAAGAGGGCCCTCACCAGAATTTGAACATGCTAACACCTTAATTCCTAAGTTGTAGCCTCCAGAACTGTGAGAATATAAATTTCTGTGATTTAAGTCACCAAGTCTATGGAATTTGGTTATGGCACCGGAAGTTCACTAATAAGAAGGGAGAACATCTGGTAAGCGTGATATGTGAGGAGATTTTTTCACCCGAGGCAATGGATGCTTTTGAAAGCTGCTGCTCTAATGTTACATGATGAGAAGAGTCTTTGACAAAATTGTGCAACTGAGAGAAGAAACATCAACTAATGAATAACTAAATGGTAGTCTACACAGACGCACACACAGACACAAGGGTACAACAAAATACCACGCCATTGAAAATCATGGAGTACATTATTTTTTTTAACCAGAAAGAGGGATAAAAGATCAAGGGAAAAATTACATTAAAAATTTTCTATGTTAAGAAGACTTCATTAAAGGAGTGAATCGACAAGCATAACCTGAGAAAAGATATTTAATTGATGTCAGTTCCTCCAATTTATAAGTAAAAGATAGGAATTTCAATAAAAACTTAAGTCTGGGAACATCACAAAAGAAGCCACCTGTATAGTTTGCTAAATATCCAAAAAACTGCCACCTCATTTAGTAATGTAGGATTTGTAAGTGATTTTCACATTTAGATACTACTGCTCAAAAGAATGGATAAAAGCATGAAAAGTGACCAATATCGAGTATAAGATGGAATATGATTCAAAAGAACCTATCAACACTGCTGAAATGAATATTAATTTGTGTTCAATACAAATTATTGGTCTCTACAAATTATTATATGTCTCTTTGATCCAGAAAATCTCTTCACCAGACATTTAGACATATACCTGCTGAAAGATCAGAAAGAATGTTTGCCTCAAGTGTTTGTGATAGTCAAGAATTAGAAATAACACACTGGTCCTTTTCCAGTAGAATGGCTAATTAAGCTATCATATACTAATCTGTCATTCCACAGATATGAAAAAGACAAAACTATTGCTGCACACAAGATGGATGACCGATGAAAATTTCAATGGGAGAAATCAATTGCTATTGTGCTATTCCATTCATACAAAGATTGAAAACAAGCAAAAATAATCCATGGGGTTAGAATAGTAGTTAATGAAAATTTCAATGGGAGAAATCAATTGCTACTGTGCTATTCCATTCATACAAAGATTGAAAACAAGCAAAAACAATCTATGGTGTTAGAAGAGTAGTTCGTTTTTGGTAGAAGGGAAAGAATAGCAAATGAAATGAGGACAGGGGCTGGCCCTGGAGTATGGTTAGCTTCTGTTTCTTGCCCTGAGATTGGTAGCATGAGGCTTTTATTTTGTGACAACTCATTATACTGAATACGTAGGATCTGTGTCCTTCACTGCATACTTATAATCTGTCAATAAAAAGCTCTTATAATTACCTTTCTTCACTATTGATGGCATAAGCATTAGAGAGACACAAATATTTCTTTATACATGTGGAGCTGAGTGATAGAAAACATGGTTAATGGACTTTGAACACTAAGTATACTTTTCTAATCTGAATAAATTCAATTAAATTAATGGATTCATTATTTACAGTAATCTCACTATTCTTGGTTTGACTATAATGCTTAAAAATCAAAATGCACATAATCTGAAATTGTTCAAGTTTCTGAAACAAGAGTTTTGAAAAGCTTAAATGAGATAATGCTTGCAAAGCACTAGACACTGCTTGATTCACAGAAACATTATAAAAAGTAAGTAACTGAAAAAGACAAGACAGCAGGGGCTAATATATTGTTACTATTAAGATGTTTACAAAGTATGTCTGGAGTGGTTGATTTAAAAAATGTTGATGCAATGGGCATGGCATCACTAAGCCTAAAAAATTGCACAGTGTCAACCATTACTGTAAATGGGCAACTTTTCCACTAAAAGACATTGGAATAAGCATGAAGTGATGAGGGATGGAGAAAAAAAAGAATCTGCAGTGATAAAGAGGAAAATGTGCTTAGTCGCTCAGTCGTGTCTGACTCTTTGTGACCCCATGGACTGCAACCCATCAGGTTCCTCTGTCCCTGGGGATGCTCCAGGCAAGAAAACTGGAGTGGGTTGCCATGCCCTCCTCCAGGGTATCTTCCCACCCCAGGGATCAAGCCCAGGTCTTCCACATTGCAGGAAGATTCTTTACTGAGTCTCCAGGGAAGCCGGAAGAGGAAAACAGCAAGCATTTTTATGAATAGGTGAGAAGATTTTTTGCCAAGACCATTCACCTTTGAGTATATACTTTTTGCATTTAAATCCAAATATATTTCACTCAGAAAATCAATAAAAAATACTTTCCAAAGCAAGTTCCCAGAGATATTCACAATTGAAAAGAAGGCTCTCTTCAGGGTTTTCTGAGATTCCATATCTAGGTGCTGTTATAGAGGAATTCTAGGGGCTTCCGAGGTGGATCAGTGATAAAAAACACAGCTACCAGGAGTTGCAGGAGACACGAATACAATACCTAGTTTTGGAAGTCCCCTGGAGTAGAAACGGGAAAGCCATTCTAGTATTCATGCCTGGAAATGTCCTCGGACAGAGGACCCTGGCAGGCTACAGTCCGTGGGGTTTCAAAGAGTCAGACACGACTGAGCACCGGAGCACCCGGAGGTATAAAAACACCAAAAATTCTGTTCAAGGCTGTTTTGGGACAAAAACTCATCTTAAAGACTGAATATAGGTCATTGAAGTCACCACAACTCAGCTCATATTTTTATTAAGAAATAACTCTTTGAGTTGAGGAGGTGGTGAACAGTACAATAGGCAGGAGCACAGAAGTTGTAATGGGAGTCAAGGATGACCTAGAACCAGGGAGACAAAAAACCTAGACGAGAAACAGGAGCAGGACCAGGACCCTGGACTTCTCCCACAAAAAGCCTTTACTTTACAGATACCTAGAGAAAGCTGACCATGCTTAGCAGCAGACTTCATTGTAGTCTTTGTCTATTATTAAATGAAATTTCCTATATTTACCTAGCTGTATGTTAAGCATGTAAGTTTCACATAGTTTATCCTACTATATTTTATCTGTAGATATATTTATCTTACTATATTTTTACCTGTAGAAAAAGAGAAAATGAAGTCTCTTTAAGATATTACTTAAACTATTATGAGAATCAGATAACTAGATGAATCCCATAAAATTACCAAAGAACATACTATGTATTTAAACCATTTTTTAGGAGGATGAAGGTTGGCGTTGCAAATTGAAATCCAGTGAGAAAGTTTTACCACAGTATTTGCATAACTACCTTATATAAACAAGTAGAAATTAATTGCACATTGCATCCATTAAAAAAATATTGATTGGACATGAAGAATGACCTTGCTATGAGATATACTGTCAAAGAATCTATGGAACTTCCTCTCAAAAAACCTGTAAGCAATCACCTATCTTTTTATGTGTATCTTCCTTGACAGACCAGATGACTGATGAATTGCAAATAATAAAGGAAAAATTATTTCTTGTTAGGTTTTGAAACTATGAGTAATAAATATTTGAGGTGACCGAATCTTACACTGTACATTTTACAATTCCAGGAAGAAAGCAAGAGTTTAATTACATCACATAAAACAATTCTCTTACACATCACGGAACTTCGGTTTTGCCACATCAATGGCAGCTTGATGGGCTGCTCACATATTAAAATCGCTGTGTCTTCATCTGTGTCATACTGAGGAATGCCTCTGGTATTGGAAACTTTCTTTCTGGACAGCAGACTGTAGTATGAAAAGTGATTTACATCAATAAAAGATTTTAAAATATATTTAATTACCAGTGTCATGAATTCCTGAAAAAGAACATTGTAACATACTCATCTAGCTGATTGTTTAGAAATGAAATTTATTTTCAAAATAAATTTTAACACTTAAAGATGTTATTTAGCTTAACTTATTTGCTTTACAGATGGATGCATACTAATTTATTTGCAGACACAGATGTAATTTGGTAATTATTACATTAGCATTCTGAAAACACTTTTATAAATACAATTATACCAATTTGCTATTAACTATTTAGGAATATTTCAGACTACTAATAGGAACAGTATAAAGAGGTAGGG